CCCCACCCCCACCCCCCCCACCCCCCCCCCCCCCCCCCCCCCCCCCCCCCCCCCCCCCGCGGGGGGGCCCCCCCAAAGGGTTAAGAAAGGTTTTTATGGTTCGTAGTCGAGAGAAAAATACACCAAGATTTGATGCAATTTATTCTGGGATACCCGTTAGTATTCTTCTACCAACCACTTGTTGTTTCAAGATTATTTCAATTGATAATGTTGAACATTACTTTAGCTTTTGCCAATTGTACAACAACACTTCCGACGGCCCCAGCTGCTGCTGTAACAACACAAATTTCACCAAATTTCAACACCAAAATAAGCAGTCATCCTAAAAAATATTGCTTTAAGTATCTGTATGTATACGTTCTAAGAGGTATTGAGAATTTTGCTTACCCCGGCATTCCTACAACGTCTGTTATTGATGATGATAAATTTCCAATATCAAATGACAACGCATTCAAATCTTTTCCATCTTTCGATATAAAATGTGTACGCCAGCCACTCATTGGAGTAACCAATGTACCAACTGGATACTGACCATTTCGACTTTTAATTACCGTAAAATAGACACTCACCGTATATTGTAATTGAATATGTTTTCATGGCATACTTTGATACTGCTTCACCAAACATTGTATTATATTTACCAAACGGTTTCATAAGATCGTCACTCGGAATTCTAAAAAAAGAATCAAGAACCACGGGATAAGAATTTGTCAATTCGCATTAACCTACCCCATGTAAGGATCGATACTTAAGAAAACCACTTCGCATAAAACTTCTAAAAAGAAACACAAACAATTAAAGATAGAAAAGTATTGAGTCGATTTTGTTACAAAAAGTAGTCTATTTAAATAAAACTTTAAGAATTCGTAATTGAAACAAAATCTTAATACTGCTATACACTATATATTACTTGCACTCTTTAAAAAATAGTATATCATCAGCTCGAAAAATTTCAAAAACACTTCTTTGATGAAAACTATGTCGCAGATTTGGAATTCTCCACCATCTATTGCTTTGAATACAACAGATATTTAGTAAGTATACTCTCAAAAACATTGTGAGGAACATTTTGAAAAAAAACCCAATTTTTCAAAGAAAATTTAGGAGTGAACGTTTATGTGGAAGAACACAGCAAAGAAAAAACGTCTAATTTCTTTCTACCTATTGAAGACTCTTTCTTAACTCCTGTTTGCACTCTTATTTTTGAACATTTTTTCCGGTTAGCTTTATTGCTATTTTCTTCCTCTCATAAAAACAGCTAGTGCACTGCAGCTAGTGCACTGAATTGATTCACCCCTATGAATTTAAGCGGTAAACTTTTTCAAGAGACGATTCTTTTAGACTAATTATTACCATATGAACTCTTTTCTCACTATGGTCTTTGGACTGAGGCTTTCTTCTCTACGCCTTTCCATATGGAGTCGAAATAGATTTGGGTGGAGATTTTTTGCAGACGAGTTGAAGAAAAATCTTTTTTGCAAGTTACTTATTAGCATAAGGACATGACTAATTCGAAAATATCACTGCTCAGGTCTTTTCCGTTACCGAGATAAGAGGCATTATTTCCTAAAGACTGGCTCTTATTTAGTGCTTCAAAGGCAAGATTTTTTGGTGAAATTGATTATTTAGGCAGCTGTAGCTTTGTACTTAGATTCTGTGGCAGTTGTAATTTTATAAAAACGTCTTCCGTGGGCGGCGAGAGCGCGCAAATTTTCCAAATTTTGGACTTTTTCCACTGTTAACCATGTTGGACTTCTGATTTTTCACGATTTCTACCAATGAAAAGTAAGCTCGCACCTAGCAACATGTCTCTATACTGTATTTCAGCTACTTATGGTTATTTTATTCATAAAGGTATGATTATAAGTAGCCGGCAGGAAACGTAGTTATTTTACGGATAATGCCGCCTATCTCGGTAACGGAAAAGACCTGAGCAGAAATATTTTCGAATTAGTCATGTCCCTATGCTAATAAGTAACTTGCAAAAGAGATTTTTCTTCAACTCGTCTGCAAAAAATCTCCACCCAAATCTATTTCGACTTCATATGTATATAAATCGCTTTCTAACGATAAAAGATTCTCATTAGCGTTATCGTTGTATTCTAATGGTATTTATCCTACAGACGCTTTTCTTTTGCCGTGAACATTTTGAACATTATACCCTCCTGTTATAATTGCTGACAATAATAGAAAGGAGATTAGTCACTCTAGATTTCAGCCTGTTAGATACGGTACGAGTAATTCCTCTTCACCCCCACTCTCTTCCTTCGATACAGACAAAACTTCAAAGAAGGAGCGTATGCCGTAGCGGGGGGGTATCATTTTTAGTTATAACGAGTACCAGGGCTATATATGCACCTTTGTGCGAAAGTACTCTATGTGCACTCTGACAAGCTTTTTCTAATCATCAGTTGTGGAATTTCTGTTTAAATAGACAACCCTTCAATTCAAAGGAACGCATGCAGTAAACTAAGCGATAGAAAACGATATTTTGAAACATTAATCACTCATTGGGATATGCGCTGATAGAGTTCCATGGAAAGCCACTCTTCGAACAATAACGTGGGAGGAATAAAATCCACAACCCACAGACAGATTTCTCAACTGATTTTTCTATGGCAATCTACTGAATTCATTCGACAATGTCCGATAAGGAGGACTTAGTTCATGAAGTTCTAGTGAACCTGGCGTATTAGACTGAACGAAAAAACATACTGAATAAGAAAAGAGCACCTCTGCTCAAATGCTAAGTCCAGTACTCGCGGATACTGTGCTCGATTCTGCGTAATAGCCCTAAAGCTACTGATGCTTGTGGGCCTCTGATCACTCAGCTGATAGTACCATAATCGTATTAACAATACAGTTCTTCAAATGTTCAAGTACCTGAAACGGCGAAGCAAATTCACACTATGTCGTGCGGATATCTTTTATGTGAAACCAATTTTCGAACTCACTCTCACGCTGCCCTCACTGCCCACCAATCCAAGCAAAAAATCGTATATGAAAATATCTAGATATTTTATTGTGGCGTTGGGCAATACCAAGCCCAATATATTTACTAAGTAGATAAGTCAATAAAAGTGACACCTGTACCTAAATATCTCATAGCAGGATTGCCCAATACTCGATACTTTTTATTTGCTTGGGAACATCCACCACACATTGTCAGAAATATCTAAATTTATATTGTTCGCGGATGAGCCGTATCACGAGAAACTTTGATTATTCGTTATAGAAAAAAAGGACGAAAGAAAAGCAAAAAAGTGTAATAAATCACACATATTAAAGTCAAATTCTTTAATGCATCAAGAGCAAAAGAGGTTTTCGCATGATCTACATAAACGTATTTCCAGAGAAGATTATGACAAATTGGACAAACACAATACAATCACATGTAATATAAATCTCCAGTTCCGTTTTTCTCTTTTTTTTTGCAGGACACAAATTTCCATGCAAACGGCGTAAAAAAACCATTTGACACAATTAAGCTCAGTACATGTTCTTTTCGCTTCCCTTCTTCTTTTGTTTTATCACATAAAAGATAGGAATCACACAATTTAATTGGCTTTATTTAGAATATAGAATCTATGCGTGATGTACTGCATTTTCTATCTAACTCCATCCATACACCTTTGTTTCATTTCTATCGCTTTGTGATGATGTAAAATTAATAGTTTATTCTCGATTCGTCCCTAATTACTCAGTCTCACTTTTGATGTGCTTAAAATACATACGTAAGATGTATTTTATCGTTTGTAACTTCAGCTGAAGGAAGAAGAAGAGTTCTAAAACTGAAGCAGTACACTATCTATTAACTACACGGTTAACTGAACGAAAATTCACAAGTGAAACAGGTTTGTCTTTTGAAATTTAGCTTTATTTGCAGCTTGTTCGCCAAATATCAGATGAATTTACATAAATAAAACCAAAACTTACAATTTACCAGATAGATTTTTGGGTTATACTTTTGGAAGAACTGCACCGCTCCTGTTCAAAGTCAAACGGCAGAACAGCTGATCTTTTTGACGAAATTTGTTCTATTTATTCTGGATACGATAAATTAGTTTTTTGCGTGAAATTCGTATGCATTGTTGCCTGTTTTCCTATAATTATCATGCGTTTTAAAATACAATGGTCTCGGATATTTTTCGAATAACTTTTCACATAAATGAGATAGAGACCTGCGGTTTCCAGTTTTGAGAACTAGACACCTGACCACATATTTCTGTAAGCAAAAGCGAATTCCGAAAAAACTTCTGAAGTGAGTTTATCAGAGGATCTTCAGAAAACTGGCTTCAGTTTTCCGAAATTCACATAGGAATGTGTTGACGTTTTTCCATCGGCTGATAGCCCAGAGTGGTCTCTTCAAAATGGGTGGTCTCTATCTCATTTTTGTGAAAAATATCCGAGACCATTGTATTTTGAAACGCATAGTAATTATAAAGTTTAGCATTTGAAACATTAAATGATATATGTACTAATTACATCATATCAAAAAGGCTCATCCGTTAGCCCCTGTAAGGTCACGCGTCTTGAAATAAAAATACGTAAAGTATAATATAATGACATAGACAATACTGTTGTTGAATATTATGAGCTTTTTATAAATTGTAAAAATGAATGATTGAAACAGAAAAAATGCATATAATTTGTACTACGTTGATTGATTCGGCATTGTGAACAATACTGGAATCCGTGAGAACCATTTAGTTAAACGGAGCAATTCTACGGTAATGTTGCCCAATGCCATTCTAAGTAGCCGAAGTAAAATCAGCAAGAAGCGAATTTCTAAATCCTACTTTTTAAGTGAATGGTGGCCAAAACATTGCACAACCCTTTACCATGCATCCACCTCTTGCAGTTGTAAGCGCAAGGTCGTTGTGGGTACCAAAAGGTCGTACTCCACGCGTTTAGAATCAGCGGCTAATATAAAACCAAAAAATGAATGAATACAGACGACATTTTTCATTCTGTTTTGACTACTATCCATTTCAAAATACAAGAGCAGTGGCTATTTTTTGAATAACTTTTGATAGAAAGCAGCTAGAGAGCTTCGGTTTTCACCATGCAAAAGAGAAGACTTGGAGACATGTTTCCACGAACAGAATTATTTCCACAAGAGTTTTCTGAAACAGGCTGTTTAGGAGATCTTTGGAAAACCAGATTGTGTGTAAAAATTTTCCAATAGGATAATGTTGATCTTTTCATGGACTGATAGTCCGGGATGTGCTCGTGAAAATGGGAGTCAAGCAAGACCTAGATTTTCTACGGCTCTGGGGTTGTGCCGGATTTCCTACGAGTCTCGGGACTGGTACATAGTGACTCTTCGTAGCCTTGAAAGCCAATGGACTATAGATAATCGATCATGCTGAGTCTAGTGGCAATATTTGCTTTTAAAAAAAGTTTAAAAATCTATCGAAAAGGGGAGTTTTACTAAAACTAAGGTGTTCATACAGTAAAACTGTATTTTGAAACGGCTAGTAGTGAAAGAGTTAATCAGGGTGCTCAAGCATTTTTTAAATCTATCAATATTTTCTTAAGGCAATAATCTCTCATAGTAATGGATCGAAAATGTGCTCTGAAAAAGTGTAACCAGAGACAGAAGATGTCGAGACAGACGAACGTATCAAGGAGCTGTGGTGGATGCCTTGATTAGAGAAACTGCTATGAAATTTTTGATTAGCAATACTTCGTACAAAATAAACATACAGCCTCTCACCAAGGCACCGAAACGTTTTCGGTATATACTCTACTTAGAAACAGCTACCACAAAGTTAAGTAACTGATAGTTACAATTATTTTGACGCTAACTGGAAAGGCAGTTAAAATCCATTTGAAATCGACTTGAAAATACAAAAATCCTTCTTATAAGGAAGGCTACTTTTAGTTCTCAATTCGATAGTTTTGATCTCTCAATTTTCACTCAAACTATTCTGCTGACCAATCTGCCATTTCGTTTACATAACCGCAAAGAAAATACTACTCTAAAACTATAAGTCAAACCTTTTCTGAAGTGTAAACTGACTTTTATCTCATGCGATCAGTCGCTGATAAAAATGTCTGATCTCTGTAGTTATAAAAACATCGGGATATCGGAGTTTTATTAAAAAGTTGTCATTAGACGGAAGTTCCTTAAAATTTTTTATGAAAGTCTTATGCTATAAAAATACTCTGAATCACAATCACTTTGCAGAAGACATTTTAATGAAAGTCCCGATACTTTCATTAAAAAAAAACGCTGTAATAAAAGCTTTTTTAATGAAAGTCACCCAATCCAAAGCATCATGCAAAGTGGTCGCCTTTTGGTGTTTATCAGTGATGATACGCAAAAACTGAGATCCAGTCTAACATTCTATTCTTATAAGTCTACTTATATTAACCGAACGCTCCATTTTGTGTTGTATAATTATACTTTTTCCACGTTTTATTCTTATTTAGGCCTAAAATAAAAAATACCTTAACACCAAATCATGAGTACTAATAACACAACGACCAGTAATCTCGTATCATCTATTGTCCATGCAACGTCATTGATCAATTTTTATGCGGCATTTCCCTTTCTATTCTTCGGCACGATTGGTAATCTATTGACGGTTATTGTCTTCTCTCGAAAAACATTACGTGGAAATCCGTGCGTTGTCTATCTATTAGCAACCACGATTCCCTGTACATTGGCATTATACTTTGCTTATATAGTGAAAATTAGTCAATATTTAGGTTTTGACTTGACAACAATATCGGCATTTTGTAAAATGCGTACGTACATGATTGATCCGTCACAATTCACTTCTTCGTGGTTTATGGTATTAGCTTGTATTGACCGATATGCATCAAGCAGTGAACATGTTCGTGTAAGGAATTTCAGTCGATTATCGGTGGCTTATCGTCTAATACTAGTTATTACTTTGATTGGATGTTGCATTTACACCTATATATTCCAATGTTACGATTCTCATGTACCTAATTCACCGATTGTATGTTATATCCGCACCAATACCATATTTCCTTGTTACATATTTGACAGTGTCATATTTTTGACATTGTTCAGTACAATACCACCTGTTTGTATGACGGTTTTTGGTGTATTGACATTTCTGAATATTCGCAAAATGCGTTATCGTCAAACTGGGCCGTTACCATCAGTCGTCACCGGCGTTAATCGACCAAAGACACGTATGCAACAACTTGATATGAAATTAGTTACAATGTTATTTGCACAAGTACTCATGTTGATTTTGTCAACAATGCCATTGTCAATTTACAAAGTCTATTCGACATTCACAGTAAATTTTATCAAGAGTGACATGAGACGAGCCATTGAGAATCTTCTATTTCAGATGGCTCTCACATTGAGTAATCTCAATAATGTTACGATATTCTATTTGTATTTATTGAGTGGATCCGTTTTCCGAAAAGAACTCATGCAACTGTTTAGTCGATAAACCACTACTGCTGCTGTAAAATACTGAAGACAAACTATATGTAAAAGTTTTCGGTAAACTCAGAACGAAATTACTACTTTTCTGTTAATTTCTTATTTGAGTCGAATTCTTTTTTTGTAAATGTGTTCCCCTACTCCTAAAAAATAATTAATCTGTGTTGTAAGTCTATTTTTACAATAAATTCTATTGCTATAACGACAGCTTTATATTGTTGTTGAGTATTTTTAGACTAGTCTTTATGACATTAATTTTATCGCAACGTTGAGTTTTGATAGAGGAAACAGAAGATTTATACATGTAATTGTATGCTGTTCATCCAATTTGTCATCACCGTTACAGTTCTAGTCTAATATTAAATGTGTTTTTACACAGATGATTTAGATTAGAAAGCATTCACGCACACGTTATGTGACAGGTATTATTTAATGCTCTGCAACTTCAATAAGTTTTTTCTAGACGTTAAAAATTCATAGAAGAAAATAAATATTGGATAACACGTCAGGGATAACGGATTTCTAACATAAAATACTTGATTCTCAATCTCAGACAGAAAAACAGCAAAAATCCATGTTGTATTTTCGGGTAAATCAATAAGTTCTAGTATGAGAAAGACGTGGTAATATGACCGGATGGGCCAAATTTTGTTCTATGGAGCCAGTGTTGCGTACGAAACATTCTAAAATAAATCTATTTTGAGTTATTATAAAAGGTTGTTTCTATGATTCTTTTACCGAATTCTAAAATTCTAAAATAATCATTGTGCATATGGTATATAATTTTATATTTCCACACTTTACACATGATATGAAACTAAAACCATCATGAATACAAGATTTCAAGCTGAATAAATTGTGTGATTCCTATCTTTTATGAGATAGAACAAAAGAAAAGAAAATCTGCCGAATCTAATTGTGTTAAACGCTTTTTTTACACCGTTTGCATGCAAATTTGTGTCCTGCAAAAAAGAGGAAAACGGAACAGCACATTTATATTACATGTCATTGAGTCCTGTTTGTCAAATTTCTCATCTTCTCTGGAAATCCGTTTATGAAGATCATGCGAAAACCTCTTTTGTTCTCGATGTATTAAACAATGCCTGAAAATTTACTTGTCGGTATGAACAACGCAAATGTTCTCCTCTTCTGATAACCATCTTGTCAAAACTGACTATCGACTGACATATAAAGCAAACGGTTATAGTCAAGTACTGGCCTACAAAGTATTAGAAAAACATGAAAGTGAGTGGGGCTATCAGTTAGTTCAATGGTAAGAATATGACAGTAGAAAGTACAAAATGAGTTTGATAAATATCACCAAGAGTGTTGCGATTTCATGCACAACGTGTGAGAGAGTATAAAAACGAAAAGACATGCCACATCACAATGGCATAACATGTTTACAAAATCAGCTCAATCCAGCGAAAGAAGTAGCTGATCGTCAGTCGTAAATGTCCGATGTTGGTGGAGGGAATCGAATGTGACTGAATGTTGAGCGCTGACTGAGGATGAAAGAGTGCACTGTAAATGGATGACTAGAACTGAAACAAAAGTCAACGGCTGATGTAAGCCAGAGCTGGGCAAGTACGGGATTTCTCAAGTACGAGTCGAGTACGAGTACCGAGCCTTCGAGTATGAGTCGAGTACGAGTACAAGCACCAATTTTTTAAATACAGATACCATTGAATCAGGTATGACTATGAATGTCTAAAATAATTTGTGGGAAAAAAAGTCCTATAACTCTTTAGTTATTCTCTTAATTAGTCTCTTATTATTTGATATATATCAGAACAAAATATTGATAAAGCGAAATGTTAAAACATTTTTTTAATTTATTGTATTATCAACCTTCAAGTAAATGGAATCAAAGTAAAACTTTGTTACATTTTAGAAAGTTCGCAGACACACATTCTTTGCCGTTAATGATGCTCAATATAAAACACGTTCGATAGAAGCGGATGTCGCAGGCACTGTTAGATATTTTAGAGGAAGTTGATATAATCCTGGATAGATGTGCTTTTTAGAAAAAAGTAAATCTTCTTCACGACTTTCTTCGCATAAATAACACACACTTCATCTAGAATTTCAAATATTAGATTATCGAGCACTGACCACCTCGAGTACAAGTACGAGTATCAGTCCCTCGAGTACGAGTACGACCAAAATCGTACTCGGGTACGAGTACTTCGAGTATTTTGCTCAGGTCTGGTGTAAGCCTAACACAAGATTCAACAATTGAAGAATAGAAGTGGCTGGTTGAAAGACTGTATATAAAGGGTGGGTACTAAGTTTTGACCCTCTCTGTAAATTGACGTTATCTATATGAAAGACATATAATAAAAATTCAGCTGTTTTTTTTCAAAAGATTCACCGTTTAATTGTCTACAGTGTGTACAGAATAGTATATAGGAGATGAAACTGAGACTTGAGATTCCGTCTAAATTCAACAGAAATCGAAATGCCTTAAAACTACCAAAAATTTAACTCGAAAAACTGTATTTCGTCAGTATAAGCTTGAATGTATGCGTTGTGCTCACATCCAATGGGCCAAAATGTAGCCCTTGGAATTCTCTATCAAACAGCTATAACGCGAGTTTTCTGTTGTTATTTCCGTGTTTTCAGTAGTTTCAGTTCAAAATTCAATAATCGTCGTCCGAAAATTTTTTATTTTTTGAAAAATTCTCTGTCAAAAACTCAGCTCATAAATAGAATAATAAATATGCCGGAAAAAAGCAATATTTATGATATAACTCTCGAACTATCGTTCGGATAAAATTCGTCTGCAGAAAGGGAACATCTACATATTATAACAAGCATAAAGTTCCAATAAACCATATTGTTCGGACGAAGCGTTGATAGAGAAGTCCCTGTGACAAAGTTTGTATTTTGCGCGTTTTTAAATGGTTGATTTTACTAAAATCTTAACCTGGCTTCGAGCTAAAGCTATATCTGCAAGACAGGGTAAAAAAGCGATCATTTTTATAAATTTGTTTTCTAGTTAATGTTAATTAAGTTATTTTTTCGACAGTGTATTTGAATAGAGCACATTCGAGTGCATTATCCTAATACTTTTTTCTTCTTGTGCTACGTTAGAAAGTAGGGGTGACACTTTTCTAGTTACTCAGTAACTTCACTAGTCAGTTACGTCGTCACTTCTAACGAACTTAGTTACTTCTTTACAAGTGACGAGTAACTATTTCTTTACTTCGTCACTAGTAACGAGTAATTACTTAGTTACTAGTAATGAGTAACTCATTTCGTTACTACTCCAAAAGTAACAGTTTTTCGTTACTTTTTGGAGGAGTAACGGGAGTAACGAAGTAGTTACTCGTTACTAATAAGGAAGTAACTAAGTTCGTTACTAGTTACAAGTAACATCAAGGTAAAGTGCCATCCATATTAGAAAGAAGAAAATCTGAACTGACCATGTACAATACCAGTGTGGTCTTATGAATTTCTCGAGTACTATATGTTGTTCAAGATGTCAGGTCTCAAATTCCTTCATACGAATTGCGTGTATGATTAAAATTGTCGAAAGAGTATATGTTACACAAGTTGACGTGTAAATTTCTGTTTTCATGCGTGATAACGGTTGATTTTCGGATTCTGTTCGAAGGTTAACCACTTTTTACGCCAAATTCATGCATAATCAGTAATACATTTCTTGTAGTGGTTGAGATTTTCAGAGCAGTCAAACGTGCAATTTTTTATTGGTCAGCTATCATGAGCAGGCTGGGGAACATTTTTTTAGAGAAGGGGCAATAAATTTGTAGTGCATCCACAAACGTGCTTCCCTTCATAATCTTTGTCCGTACTAACACACTTTTTCCTTCATTTAAACTGTACATCAAATTTTTCGATTAAGAATTGCTCTTTCTTTATTTTGAACTTCGGACAGATACTCTGCTATGAAATACAATTCTTCACAGGACAACAACTGCTTATTGCCCATCATATTTTGTCATGTTAGCTATAGATTAATTGCGTCAAATTTTAATACTTTTCGTCGTATTATTGAATGTATATAACAGTTGACCCGGAAATAAATGACACACTTTTGCAATTTATTTCCGTACTTAATTGACTCCATTTGATAGAGAATTTTCTGCTCTACAAAATCTGTTACCTTCTTTCATTATATATTATTTTCTTATCTAAAACGATTGTGTAGAGTAAGAATACATAAAAACTATAACTGCGACGAATGGAACAGCTTGTATTTTTTTTGTATTCGACGCATATTAATAACGTTTCTGTTAACTATTTATCACAGGTGCTATGCGTAAGGTACTCATCCTGATTTAGTTAATTTACATTGAAAAATAATATTTTTCCTAACATTTAGCCACTAACAACAAATGGTCCTAAGATTATGGGTTATTGATGTACCTATTTTTGTCTGTATATCGTATGTTTCCAAGAATTCGTTCTGACATCAGAAGACAAAAGAGTGTCTGCTCTACGAAACCCTCTATATCGCACACTTACACAGCGTCATTTGATTGATCCTTTTCCTGCTTTTTTCAAAATCTGACGTTGTCAGAAAGTACTAATTAACTTGTGCACTAAAATATTTACAATTCAAGTGACGAAACGGAAACACAGCGTAGTCTAGATGATAGTTCTCAATTCGCTGAACATTTTTACAGGACCTTCTTTTCTCAGTTATCACCCATGTCGAAATTTCGAGATATTTTTTTTGCAAAAAATTACAAAACTTCAGATCCATTGTTTCGCACAAACCTGTAGTAAAATTTTTGTGTCTCACGTAACATAACACGCATGAATTTCTTCTGCGTTTTTCTGCAGAAAAAAAAATTTTTGCGATAAAATATAAGAAAAGTAGAGCCACTTAGAGAAATCTCTAAGTAAATTTTCAACGGAAAATGACCATTTATATCAATATACCGATACACATATTCCGCTTTTTCAAATTATACACTAGTTACGATGATTCATCTTTTTTTTCATTGTTAAACTAAAAACAAAAGTTTTGCGAAAGTT